ATACATATATACATATATACATATATACATATATACATATATACATATATACATATATACATATATACATATACACACATACACACATACACATACACATACACATACACATATACATATATATATATATACATATACATACATACTATTCAGCAGAGGCTGCTGAGTTGAGGCTTGGCTATGTCTAATCCAATTTTCTTTGGAAGTTGATTGCCCTCCTGGACCACCAACAATGGCAGAAGACATCTCAGTATCTTCCTTCCTTCATGGCTACCTCTATAGCTAAACATAAGGGACCCTCAGTAACTTGGGTATGGGGTTTGTTAGGCTTACAAACTGTTAGGTGATGTAAAAATCAATCTTTTTCAGAAATGGACCGTAAACTCAATATTTAAAGCTGCTGAACAATTTTTCACCTCAATTGGTCTTTTCCCTATGACTGATAATTTCTGGAATAATTCTATGCTTGAGGAACCTAAAGATGGAAGGAAAGTTGTTTGCCATCCTACAGCTTGGGATATGGGGAAAAAAGACTACAGGTACCAAAAGCTTATTTCTACTCAGTCACAGAGTTTCCATCCATTTTCTGTAAGTAAAAGTACAAAGTGGTAATTCCAGATATAACAGCAAGCAGCAAAGTTAAGATATCCAGTTTCATAATCTGGATAGATTTAGCAATAAAACCGATTGCATGATAAAATCAACCTATCAGTACCGTATATACCAGAATACTACTGGGAGTATAGATGAGATAAATATTTTACAATCTGCAATTTGTTCATTAAATGTTAAGTATCTGATATGTAAACTTATTCTGCTCCAGTTTGTAAATTTATATATCTAATTATATCTGAATTCAACAGTTCCAAATAAGAGGGCTAATCCCTATAAATTGATGATTGACTCTGTTCCGTTATCTTGTCTGGGTTACCATTATAATAAGATTGAAGGAATGATGTTTCATCTTTATCTCAGGAATTACCATGGTAGGATATCACTCAATTAAACCAGAAATCCACATTCCTCATAAATTGGGTATACGGTTAATTTAGAAACATAAGCTAAGTGCATAAAAGACCACACCATTTTTAGCAACTATGTCAAAGTGCCATTCAAACTATCATAATCTCTGCCTGAATTGTATTCATTGGCAGGATTAAGATGTGCACAAAAATAAATATGGAGGACTTCCTGACAGCACACCATGAGATGGGCCATATTGAATATGACATGGCCTATTCTGATCAACCTTTCCTACTAAGAAATGGGGCCAATGAAGGATTCCATGAAGCTGTTGGAGAGATCATGTCACTTTCTGCAGCCACTCCAAAGTATCTGAAATCCCTTGGCTTACTAGAACATACTTTTCAAGAAGATACAGGTGAGATGTCAGAGCATGCTGCCAGGTATTACCAGTTTAAGAACTAAAATTGTAAAAATGTTATTATTGTACAGAGTGGTAAGAGAAATTGGTGAAGATGAAAGAGCAGGTAGTGAAATTATGTAGTTAGCATTGTTTCTTTGGGGAGTTATTTGGGGAAAAAACCCTAGATAACTTCTACCAATAAAACTCCTACTTTCAGTTATAAGGGACAATAGAAACTTTGCAAACAATTACTTCGTATAATACCATTTTTATTTCTAGGATTGCTGTTCTGCCTCGGGCGGGGTAGGCTTGCTCAGGGCATGCAGTTAACTCCACGCTTAAGAATCTATTTCAGATCAAGTTTATGATCAGGCATTCTTAATAGCAAAACTTACAGTTCAATGTTAAGATACTTCTGATTTTCCATAATCTGTCCCATCATGTGGTGTAAAAAGATGATGATTTTACTCCCATGCTGAGCGGAGATACACACTACTATTCTGGTTCACAAAGGCATTCAAACTGACAGGCTATAAACTTTGCACGCAGGCAAAATGTCCCAGTGGCCAATCAGAAACACATGTTATGGAACTACATTTCCCATAAAACAGTCTCTGCCTACATTTCCCATGAGGTAGTTTCTTAAAGGAGACAGTTCTTAATTCCTACACTAGCTATATACTGCTGGGGCAGCACACTTCCCGCCTGGAATTATAAATTCCACTATCAACTAACTTTTAATTACAGGCAGACAAAGGCATGGCATAAAACAATGCAAACTTGATTATCTAATTAACTAAGATAAACAAAGACATAACATCAATATGCAAACCTAACTAACTATTTAACTGAGTTATTCAAAAGCATAGCATCAAACAGTGCAAACAGTGAAGTAAACACAAGGCATACAAAACTTGAGGTTTAATTTTCTAGTTCAGTCTTTTGTAGCAGCAGTACTAGGTCAGTGATTGATCTGGTGTAGAGCTTCTTGGTGGAAGTCTGCTGGTCATGACCTGACTCCAGCGGCTTTGTGACTTGAACTTTCATTTGGCGAACTAGTTCATCATCACTGGGTAGGACTCGGTGCACAACTCCCATAGGCCATGAGTTATGATGGATAGAAGTTCCTTAGGCCATGAGTTCCAAAACATGTCTTTGGGAATGAAGTTGCCTGCTGGTGATGGCCAGTCACCTGTCTTCAGGGTCAGCAAGGTGGCTGGGGTGAGGACAGTTGCGTTTTCAGGACCCGAAGACTCTGGAACCAAAGATTGAGTGTTGATGATAGCTACTACCTCTGCCATGAGGATGGTAAGGGCAATAACTGCTAAGCCCAACATGAGAGTTCTCCATCTGGAGAAGCGTTTGAAGCGAGCTGGCTCTTGGAATGGTTGAGAGGTACTTATGGTGCTAGTTTCACCTTTTCCATGATGAAACCGATGTGAACGTTGTTCTCCCCGCCGTAGACTCTGATGTATCCTATGGCTGTTATTGCTTTTGTTGTGGTGACAGGCAAGATGGGAACATACATGCGCTGCACAGGAACACTTTGGCGACAACTCAGGGGGGCACGCCACATCTCCCATTCTTGCTTCAGTTGGTTGTGCTGTTTACATAACTGGATTACATAAAATGTAGGTAGTTTTGATGGTCCTCTCTGACAAGGAATAAGTAGAACATCTACTGGGCTAGCCATGATGGCTATGGCTTCCTTTCTGAAGTGAATGAGCATGCTGACCAGACTGTTTGTGAGGTCAGGTCCTGTGAGAAGGACCTTGGTCAGAGGGAGACCTCGGAATTGTATGCTGGCATTGAAGACTACTCAAATCTGGCCTGGCTTTTGTGGGTGGTACACCCCAAAGGATGGCAGGTACCAGCATTCCTCATCATTTCTCAGAGGTGGAGCAAGTTCTGCATGTCCATTCTGGACACCTTGTCTAGGAACTCCACTAAATGAGTTTTCATTTTGGGCTTCTCAGATTGAAGAGGCAAGAGAGAGGTTGCTCATGGTTGTTTGGAAGACGCTGCCTGCATATGCGGAAGGGTAGTGGAGTCATCCAATTCTTGGTAGCTTGCTGTTGAAGTTCCTTGTCCATGAGCCTCAGAAATTCTTTGTTTTCTATTAACAAGGCCAAGTCATTATCTTCTTTGCTGGTCTGGAACACTGTTGCTCCTAAAACTGGTTTGACTGTTGAAGTCGTGAAATGTTCTTGACACGGTCTTGAGTGGGATGTTGTCCCATTAATGAGAGTGGGGGTTGCGTGTGACTGCTGAGATGAAGCCTGCGAATGTCGAGACACCTCAGACATGGCTTTTGTGCCCAATGTGTCCTTGGGACTAGATGGGAATGCTTTTTTAGAAACCTGAGAGGAAGTCACATGCTGAGATGTTGCATGCGAAAGATAAGACACCTTGGACTCGGCCTTCTTTTCCAGGACAGTCTCCCTCTTCAGACTGGTTTGGATAAGGTCTTTGTTACATTGAAACTCCTTTGTACATTGTTTAATGTCTGAATGTGCAGCATCCTTCTGGAGTTCTTCATCATCATTTAGATGTAGCTGGATGTCATTGAGGCGGTCCTCATAAACTATCAATTTGCGAAGTGCTTATTCATGTCATTGTCTAATGAACGGAGGTGTTTGGAGGATAACTCGTCTTTGAGTTTGTCAAAGAGTTGCTGCAACTTCTTTCAGCAATTCTTTCGCTTTTGATATAGCCTGTCCCAATCCTCCAAGAGGTTTGACTGTTTAATCTGCGTAGGCTTTCTATGCTGCCTTAAGTCATAGGCTATCTGAGGTGCTTCTGCCTTTTCTGACAGTTGGACATCCAATTCTGAGTCTGTGTTGGATTCAGGTATGGGGTTTGGCATGTCTGATCCTTCTGCCATGGCTGGAGAAGATTCTATAACTAGGACTAGCTCAGAAAGTTTCTTGAATGTGTTATGAATTCTTTGAGTTCAATTCACTTGTCAGCCACTAAGGTGCATTGTAAAACTTTGTAGATGCAGGCGCAGTTCACTTGTCGGCCACTAGGGTGCATTGTAAGGCTTTGGAGATGCAGGGGCAGTTTGCTTGTCAGCCACTAGGGTGTGTTGCAAGGCTTTGTAGATGCAGGTGCAGTTCACTTGTTTGTCACTAGGGTGCATTGCAAAACTTTGTAGATACAGGTGCAGATCACTGATCGGCCACTAGGCTGCATTGCAAAACTTTGGAGATGAAGGTGCAGTTCACGTGCCAGCCACTAGGGTACGTTGCAAGTGCTGGTTAAAATACTGAACTGTAGTTTGTAGAGGAGCCACTAGAGGGCACTGCTTGTGCCTACTGTTTGGAGTGATTGGAAATGGCATTTTCCTTGCTGAGGTTTGTCAAGCTAACTCTCAGTTCTGGAATTCCTAAGGGTCTTTACCTGAACTTGGAACCTGTCTTGGACTTGGCTAGCTTGGTACCTCCTAAAGGGGTTGAGCCTTTCCCAATAATTCATAAACAATAGCAACAAATCAACAAGAACATACCTTAATCTCTTCAGCTGAACTGGATAAGAGCTGAGGTGGCGCAGTGGTTAAATGCAGCACTGCAGGCTACTTCAGCTGACTGCNTACAGCAGTGTTTCTCAACCTGCTGGCTGGGGGATTCTGGGAGTTGAAGTCCACGGGACTTAAAGTCGCCAAGGTTGAGAAACACTGCTGTAGGAGAAGGAAGGCAGGAGGAGCAATCCGGTTTATGTGTTGTAACATTTATATAGAACTCTTCATTGACCGTAAACGTATAACCATAAAAAACAATCCTACGGTTATGCAAACAAAAACTATACAGCAAATACAAATCAAAGGCTGTTCTAATCCAGAAAAAGGTTTTAATATAATGCTACTGCAATATAACTGCAATATGTAGTAACGTGCTCATCTCCACAACCATCATTTAAAACAAGTTTGCTATGATTAATGCATTTTAGACTTTTTCTTAAGGCCTGAACTAAACCTATTTTTTTTTCCATAGCAGAGTTGTCTAATTCCAGGCTAAATGCATGCCTCTTTTGTCTAATTCCCAGCAAAACAAACATTTCATGCACAGTGAGAGAAGCATTGCGGTATCCTAACTGTGCTAAAACTTCAGTTGCTCCTCTCTGCCTTCCATTAAAATGTCAGTTGATAAACACAATAATCAGGATTAAATCTTTCAGAAACATTTGTTTTACGGAGAGTGTTTTGTTTTCAAACTATTTGTTTATCCTGCATTATGCCTTATCCCAAAGAAGGAAAAATTGCTCTTTTTCTAATGTTGATGGTTATTTCCTGACATAGCTGTAAAGAAGAAAATAAACAGCAGGTGTTTATGTCTGGCGAGTACAGAAAAGCTGCCGTTCTTCATCATATATTGCAGTAGACTAATCTGTGACTCTTAAAAGAAATAGCTGAATCATTAAGCAAACAAACACTCCATTTTGTCCAATTCATGCACTCAGTTCTTCAAACAGATCCTCTAGGCAATATGGTGAAAAACACAACTATAGAACTAAATAAATGAGTCATAAATATTACACATTAATTGAAGCATAAAGGTTAAACGTGGTAAAGGACAGAGCTAGCAAGTTGGATCAATTTAATTTTAATATTCTTATATTCACATAAGGCTGCTCTTTTGTTTGTTTTTCTATTTTAGGGGTGTCAAACTCAATACGTGGGGGTGGGGCCAGTCAGAGGTGGTATTTACCCATTCTCCGAACTACTCAAAATTTCCACTACAGGTTCTCCAGAACTGGTCTGAACCTGCTGAATACCACCTCTGATCCTAATACTTACCCAACAAACCAGAAAATGCTCCTTTAAGAAATGAGAATCAGGAGATATACCATTTACATCCAGTGCTAGATATCCCAACATCTTTCCAAGGGCTCACAAGAGAAATGAGCCAGTCAGAAACCAGTCAGAAAAATGGAGTGCTGGTTAAAAGACCTACTCCTAGCTTATACTTGGAAGGAGAATGCTGAAACAGATTCAAGCTGTGATAAACCTGCTATTTCCTTAAGATATGCATCTCTGAATGAAGGATAATCCAACAAAGCCAGATATTTGAGATGGCAGCCCACACCTCTGATCTTGATGTCTTTTACATAATATGTCAAATAATAGGGGACATGGAGAAATCATCTCAAGGACATATTATCATGTCATTGAGCTATCAATTAACCTCTAGAGATTTTCTGTGGGTCTCCTCAAAAAGATTCTTTAGTTTCTGAAAACTGTATTTTTCCTTGATCAACTGACAATCCAAATTAAAATCTGTTACATCCTTTCTATCTTTCCAGGTACAGAAGATATAAACTGGATTCTCATATATAATTATTAATCCTATCATTGTGAACTGTGCAGTTCCTACTGATATATAAAGGAAAGGGTGGCCATGAACAACTACACCCCTCTCGGAAGTGACACTATTCAAATCTTAAAGATAATATATAAACAGGAAAAGGGTCATTTTAAAGCATGAACAGAGAACAAGTAGCCTATTTTTTAAATAGAAAAAGCAATATAATCTTCTATAACCTTATATTGCTTGCCCTGTTATAGATTTGAAATGCACAAAGAACCTTGTGTGTGCATAGATTTGTGACGCGGCTAAATACAAGTAGGTGGTGATTTGAGCAGGAACATTTTTTTCTATCTCAATTGTGCTATGTTCCCATAGCAAATATGTACATTGTAATATTTATTGTTAGTATTACGCAATACTTCAGAAAAGTGCTTATCATCCACTTTGAAATCTATTAAACTTCCATTACAGGTTAACATATAGGAGGATTTTCTTCTAAACTTTGCATTCAACTTCAAACTATTTTAACTTTTAAATTCCAGCATAATTATATCACGTAAGCAATTTAATTATTGTATGCACCCGTTCAAGGTAGGTTTGATTTCATTTTGGAAATGAAGTACTTGAATGCAGATAATAAATGACTATAGCTGAGGGACTAAAGTTTGACGTTAGTGGCACAAACCTGGAGAAATAGATAAATTTGGGAAATTGATTGAATGTTTGCTAAAGACATTGACATTTTAAGATGTGCAAATGCTGATAGAAAAGTAACAAATAATGTGGTCAGATGTGATGAATGAATGTCTATTGGAAGAGCTGACAGGGTTTAAAAGAGCGCACTTCTGCTTTGAGTGTGCCAGAAGAAAGATAAAACTAAATTGAATGGGAACAGATTATTTAAGGAGTGTGTTTAGTAAAACAAGAACAGATAGGATGAGAACAGCCATCAGCTGCCTAGCCAAACAAAGTGGCCTGAACAAAAACTACACAGTGGGAGTCTCCATATATATATAACTTGCAACCATTCCATAGTTTTCCAAGTACAGAGAACACAGTCAATTTTAGAAACGGGTATTATCTAAAAGGGGCAATTAAAAATAATATTAGATTAGGAAACCTGTAATATTGTAATATGTATTAAGATAAAAACAGTTGGTCATAAACAGAGCTTTTACAATGTGTTAGTAACGGAACGAGGAGCCATAGCGATAGAAAACACTTTCTACATGCAGATGATCTCAAGTTCAATCAGTTAAAAAGTAAGAATTTCAACAGACGCATTGAAGTCATAGTAGATGAACCAAAATGAACAGTCTAATCTCATTCATGGTAGTTTCATCTATTTTCATTGAGCATTAAACACAAACTCTATATATGGCACTCATTTTAAATCTAGTTTTATATTCTTGCCACACAGATAGGTTACGGTTTTTGCATGGCTATTGATTTGGAAATGCAACTCAAAAATCACTGTTTTTTTCAAATAACTTATATTTACAATCCACATGTTTGTACAACACAGCATATCTTTCTGTAAAATTAGTCTAACTAAAACAAATCAAATACCACCTTGTAATCATTGCAGGTGTTGCAAACACAGATCAGAAACTACTATTTCAGCTAAAGCTATTCATGTAATTACGTCCATAATACTACAATAAGAACAAGAAATGATGCATGTGATAAAATTATGACACTACACACTGACTTGCAAAACACTATTGTAAACACTAAATCATTGATAGATGTTAACTAAAATGCACTTGATTCATTTCATAAGAATAAGAAAAACTCGAATTAATGCTTAATAATAAAAGAGATGGAGGTGGATAAGTCCTATTTGAAATGACAATCTTGACTGTAATTTATGGAATTATATTGTCAATTTCACACACACATTCAAACAGAAATTGTTTGAGCACCTAGAACATTTTGAAGGAAAAGAGGGAAGTTATTTGTTTCAGGAACTGCTCAAAATATGATGTATGCGGTAATTTAAAAAACTCTAGAACGAAGTGGACAAAGTAAGCAGCTGAGAGATACATCACAAAACAGCTCACTCTATCTCTGAAGATGCCAAGCACAGCTGCTGGTGAAAAGTCAGGACAAAAGAGACCATCATTCAGCCTGAAGGCTCATCACTGCTTCAGTAGGAAGGATTTGACCATATAACAATATATAAATAGAACAAGTGAAGCTGTGAACTTTTTCTTAGATGATCTCCTTTTTATACATCCTATAAAGAGATCCAGCAATTTTTAAGGATCAATAATATTCATTTCACGGCTCCTTCAGGATGGGGAGAAATATGTGTATAAATTCTACAGTGATCATAGATTTGAAAAGACTGAATTGAAGTTGATTGTTGGAATCAAAATTTAAGTACATAGTGTAAATCTAGGCCAGGGGTATCAAATTGAAGCTCCGCGGCCCAGATGCGGCCCACGGGGGCTTAGATCTGNAAAGCATCCTCCCAGCCCTGTCCAGGCCACCACAGGTGCCCCCAACACAAGTGATGTTGAGCTGGCTATGTTCATCCTGGCCATGCCCACACTGCCCATGCTACCCCTCCCCCAGCCCTTTCAAAGTCAAACACAACCCTGAGGGGTCCTCAATAAAATCAAGTTTGACACCCCTGATCTTGAATATCATCTTTAGCGCAATAGAGGATGCTATTCAAGCTTCAAACCAGTGTCTATATTATGGAATAGGAAGGGCTAACATCTGGTTTTGTGTTGGCCCAGTTCTGCTTTTACTCTTTTTCCCCAGGCAAAGTGCGGCTTAAAATCTTTTAAATAAATAAGGAATTCAGGGAAATGTGTGTGAATTCAGATGATGAAAGTGATTGTGTTGGCCTTTTACACATTGTAATTTGGGAAAGTCTTATGCAAATAAACCCATCCTAATCATACCGGTAGCATACATTTGCATGAAGGAAAAACTTTTTCCTGGCTGTGTGCTTGAAACAGGACAAAGAACTTAACATAGCCTTTGGCATAATTTCATGGAAGAAATGGAGACAGAGATAGTACAGAGAGAAGGTATGAGACAGTAGCATAGAAGTCTGAGGGAAAATGCAGAAGTATGCAGTAAGGTTCCATAAAACTCACAATGGTTTTTACAATGGACATAAAGTGAGTCACTGCAATCGTTAAGCAAATCTTGTCATATAGTCCTTAAGTAAATTCAACATTTCCAGTAAGTATTTTTGCCATTTTCTGTTGGAAAACAGCAAAAAAGGTCACACATTATGGTCATGTTATTGCAGAATGCTTCTATCGGTTATAAATGTGAGCTAGAACCCTCACAAAAAAATTACACTTGTGACGTCAAGCAATATAAGTTTTTTAGACATAGGCAATGTATTCTGCACTTCTCAAAAACAAAGAACCTCATTACTGTTGCAAATCACCCAAAATCTACATCTTGGGTGCCTTTTCTTTTCTGAGAAAAAAAGAAAGAAAGACTAAACAAACCAGTCGCTATTAACAGTCAATTCCCTGGTTATTTAATGCACTTTTTGGAAATGCTCAGCCAATTCTTACAACTGCACAAAAGAGAAGGAACATTTCCTCTAATTGCTTCTATTCACCGGTAATTTCTTCTCCTAATTTGGGGTTTAAAGAATTGACTGAAGCACTAAGAATCTTCTGCTATGATGTTGATGGAGCCAAAGTGTGCTGTCCTTATTTCTTGTCATGTCAGTTTGACTTTTCTGAGCACAGACAATGGAAAATGGAGCACAGTGGGAAATTACCACAGTTCCTTTCTCTTGCTGTGAAAATTGGTAAAAATGCATACCTTTATTTATAGTAACTTGTAAACTATGAGTCCCATCACTGGTCATGCATTGCCATTAAATTGCAGCAAACGGGGACAGGTAATTTTAACTCTTTCCTCAGATTTTGGCCATCCAGGCATGGTAATCCTAATCCATGTACATATGCATTTGCATTTAAACTATTTCTTTTAGGCTACAAATTTAGTTTATTTAGCAAATTGAGCAAGTGCTAATAACAATCTTCACTTCTTTGCTCCAGGTTCCACCTTTAGAAGGTATTCTTAAATGCTTAAAAGGCAGGTAACTCCCAACCCATCCCCAATCAGTTCCCAGCCTTCTTTTCATATGAGAAGTAAGAAGGTGGAGGTGAGAATATCAAGAATTTTGTCTGTGCATGAAATTTTAGAAAAACTATGCTAGTTTTCATTATCTACTCTCATCTAGTACGGAATAGTGGATTATGACCAGGCATATTGCATGTTTCATTGCTAAGGAAACATGCAATGGAAGAATGGCACGAAATTGATGAGGTAAAACCCACAATATTTTTGAGCAATATAAACACGTTGGCTCAGTGGCTAAGATGCTGAGCTTGTTGATGAAAAAGAATGGCAGTTCGGCAGTTCGAATCCCTAGCCCCATGTAGTGGAGTGAGCTCCCGTAATTTGCCCCAACTTCTGCCACCCTAGCAATTCGAAAGCATGTAAAAATGCAAGTAGAAAAATAGGAACCACCTTTGGTGGGAAGGTAACAGCATACCATGCGCCCTTGGCATTGAGTCATGCCGGCCACATGACCACGGAGACGTCTTCGGACAGCGCTGGCTCTTCGGCTTTGAAACGGAGATGAGCACCGCCCCCTAGAGTCAGGAATGACTAGCACATATGTGCAAGGGGAACTTTGACCTTTACCTTTTTAAGGTTTCCTCAAATTAACAATCAGTGCAGAGTGAAGTAATTACACAAATCCCGATTTATATATTTGCCTTCCAATGCCTGATGCAAATATGTCAGTCAAGATTTTGATGACATAAAGCACATTTAACTCTGGAGTTGGATGGCTTCTATATTTCATAACTATACCCACCTCAGTTTGAACAAGCAGGATAGACGGCATAGTCTATTAAATATTAGAACTACCCAGCTTCGGAGTAAATGTAAATAGCTAAAGTATTATTTCAATAGTTTATAGAATAGTTTGCATTGTTAAGTCTCCTGTCTGGTATATAGCCATTTCTAATTTAGCAGCTATCTTGTTTAACAAATTTGCAAATACAATGGTAATCATTAAATATTTTCTAACCAATGCTCACTCTGATACAATCACTCATAAAGACATGTGCTTTCATAGCAAGCAAGGAAAGCCACATTAGTATCATGATGACTTTTTCATTCTGTATCCATGGAGAAATAGTACTTTACCGTATTGGATTGACCTTAATGATAATTTAGATTGCCTATTCCAGTTGCAGTGTAATTAAGAGGGAGAGGTACCAACCAGCTGAGTTCAACTCCAAGTGGCTACATAATTATATCCATGCAATTTTCTTGACACAGTATAAATAGTTTTGCCATTGCCTTTTTCTATACATTATCCAACTTCCTAATTTATTCCAAAGCTCTGGAATTCCATCCAAGCACTAACTAGGCTTAAACTTCTCTCCCCCCCACTCCCGTGCTCTTATCTTCTTGGCTGATCTCTTCTGGATTTGCTCCAGTTTCTTAGTGGCCTTCTCAGAATGCAGGATCCAGAACTGGAAGTAATATTCTTAATAGTGTTTGAGCAGTGCAGAATACGTATGATTCCTCTTGAACCTGACACAATACTGTATTTCTGTTAATACCAAGGGTGTCAAACTCAATTTCACTGAGGGCCGCTTCAGCGTTGTTTGACATGGGGGGCAGGGGGGTGGCCAGCTTGCATAGCCTCCCCCAGTTCCATTCGCTGGCAGAGGCACCACGGGCCAGTCCTTCACTGTGTCAGATCAAGAGGATTAGGGGACTGGAAGCTCAAACATATGAAGAACAGTTGCAGAAACTGGGTATGTCTGGTTGAATGAAAAGAAAGACTTAAGGGTGATATGATAGCAGTCTTCCAATATCTGAGGGGCTGCCCCAAAGAAGAGGGGAGTAGAAGTAAAGTAAACTCTTAACA